TTGTGGTGCTTCTCAAAACTGAATCGAAAGAGAAAACAAATGAAATATAATTTATATTGTTCTATTTTTAGATTTAATTATTGAAAGAGGTGTAGGCGTAGAGTCGACAACTAAAACCGCGATTCCTGATAATGTGAGCAATCAAATTATCTACCTCAACATAATGTCAAAGACTACAACTCATAAAGCTCACATCAATTTGGCAAAACGAGGCCATGATATGAGCGTATAAATTTTATGCACTTCGACACCACAAAACGGTAATGATAATGCCGTGTCACGCCATAAAAACCAAATCCTCCATAACAGCACAAAGTCCCCACTCCTCATCTCTTTGCCCTCACATTTCTTCTTTCTTTTTTTTTTTACTTTCGCAAGAAGGTGGTAAAAAAAGTGCGCAGCCAAATGTAGCTAAACAAAAGTGCGACAAGGCTCAAAAGCTCTCGCTTGAAAATGTAGCTATGCATTTTGACAATTGGCAGCAAAATGTTTCAGCTAAGCTTTTTTTATACCCTTTACACATAAAAATGTAAAAAAAAGAATATTGTAAGGTTTGGCAAGTGAGTGTGATTGACTTAGCTTGAAGGACATAGCAAAACTAAATTAAAATGACAATTTCGATATATTATTATTTTATGTTTATTTGTACACAGAAACTTATATATGGGTCGTAAATTTATATAGTTTATCCAAGACAATATTAGTGGCATTTAATATTTCTTTTTATTATTATTTGAACTAATCCAAGAAAGTCTAGTTTTTATGAGTATGTTGTATTGAGTTATCTTTTCTTCTAGCGCTACAAAAATGCTTCAAAGTGCAAACATCAACACCAAGCAACACGACACACTTTCAATTCCCGAATAGATTATAAAATCATAATAGAAAATTAATTAATAGCTGGCAGAGAGATGGATTATAATTCAAATGTTATTAATATATTTTTTTGTTTTAGGGGGTATCTTGCCGTCAAGCATTATTGCCTGGAGCTTTATTGTTTATAATGCCCAGCTGCTGTTGCCGTTTCCGTTGTCGCTCTGCAAGCATTATTTTTATAAGGACGCCGCTTATGGCAATGGGTGAGGCAACAGCGACAACAATAGCAAAAACAACAAATATACAGATAGCTATATTGAGAGTAGTTATAGCTGCAACGGCTGACTGGCTGACTGGCTGGCCGACTGGGTGACGCTCAGTGTTTGGCACATTCGTAGCCGCATTCGTTGCCAAAGCTTGGCACACGCGACACGTGCGAGTTGCGTGCTAAGTTGAATTGTCAGCGGCAAAAGTTGAAACATTTTGTGAACAATAAAATAATATACAACCAGCTGCCAAAGGAGCGCACAAACACAAACACACACAAACAACTAAAACATACTCGTGACAGAACAAGGTAAAATATATCCGCTAAGAAATAATCGACATGTCTGTTAATTATTGTGAAACTTTTGTGACACACACACGGATACAAAGTGTCAGCCATTATGCTGCTTTTGCTTCTGCTTCTGCTGCTCCTGTTTCTGCAGCTGCTCCAGCATCAGCTGCTCCTTGCTGCTGCGTTGGCGTTTCTTTCCCAGATGACAGCTTGTGGTGTTAGTGACAGGCGTTCGGGAGCCGCCCCATATACTTTTTGAGTTGTTAGTGAAGCAGCTGCAGTTGCCGTCAGTAACTTTAACTGTATTTGTATCGGTGACAGTATCTGTATCTGTATCTGTATCTGTGTCTGAGTATCCCATACACACATAAAGTTATTCGCGCGAATGGGGATTGTGTCTCATGTCATAAAGACACGCACAAATCATGCTTAAACTCGGCCAGGCGACGCTCACATCCTTGAGTCCTGTATCCTGTGTCCCGTGTCCTGGTGCTCGTTGCTTTTTGCTTAACTCGCAATTTATGGTTAATCGATGCTGTCTTTGAACGTGACCTATTTGCTTTATTTCGTCGCGCAGTATCCTTTTGTCGCCATGTGCTTGTCCATGTCAGCGTCTCACCATTATATCCGCTTTCCGGATCGCACTCAGCGTCCTGCTGACGTGTTAAATTGTCTTTTTGTTTACCCTCAATAAAGCAATAATTTATTTTTCATGCTCTGCAGAACGTTATGCGTCTGCCTGACCGACTGCCCCCATTTCTCTATCCTTGTCGCACTTTCTTTTATTTCTGCATATATATGTACACATATGCGTTATGGCATCTATTTTATCTCTAGTATATTTTGTCATTTGGCAAAATCGATATATGGCTAACCTTGACATTCGGATAGAGCTTTGTTGCAGCATCGGTTGCTGCAGCTGCATTTGTTGCCAGCCACACTTTGTTGCTGGCATCCCAAAGCTTTGCAGTTTTGCAGTCACTGCGAATTGTGACCACTAAAAAAACCCCTACACAGATATGACGCATCACCACAAAGTAGAACTAAAGTGCCACCTGGGCATTCTAATTAGGGACAATTTGAATTGCTATTGCTCTCATGACAGCAGTTGACTATCTAATTGGGTCATCAGTTCCGTAGCGAGCACTCGCCTAACTCTCAACATGCCAATTATTTATTGATTTTCTAATTGGTATTTGGAGTTTTATTTTTCATAAATTCAAGCATTATTTTCGAATCAATTTGGTAAGCATAAATGATTGGTCATGTTGTTAAATCATAAATCATATATCTGATAAGCGGTAAGGTACGCGAAAATAAAAATAACGCTACTAATTAAATACAAAAAAAAAATAAATAAAAAATAATAATCTGCAATACATTAACAGTCCCTGCTGCAACAAAATAATCTGCCTCGTACTAGGCGCGTAGTCATATGAATAGTGACTATTGCGTGTCGGCAATTTTATACGATTACGATCCAATCAATAAACCAGCACAAAAGCTCAGTCATACAACAGAAATTGCAATCAATAATTTGTCACCCCTCTATCTTTCTCTGACAGTTGCGTTCTGGTTATGCCAATCAAATGAAAAAATATTACAGCAACGAATATAAACTATTTATTTGTTGCTAATCAACAAAACAAATTTTGTTTAAATATTGACATTAATATTGCAATGTTTTTTGTGCTTTTTGAAGAACTTACATGAAACAATGTAGTAATGTAGTAATTCTCAATGTTGATTAGAGGTGCATCTGAGGGGTTTATGGAGATTGCCTCACTTCCTGTTACAGTACATGTAAAGCTATCGATATGGATATAAGTTGTTGTTGTTGTTTTTATGATGTCATGCTTGAATTATTGAGGTGAACGGGCACGCTTAAGCTACTGAAGCATTGATCAACTTGTTAAAGTTCAAGCGGTTCCGGTTCACTGACAAGAGTGGCTGCATTTGTTATACTATACATACCAGAGGTACACGAGTATATTGGTTTTGTGCGTCATACTGACTGTCCATCTGTCAGCGTATTATATTCCAAATTTGAAGTCTCCAACTCTCATAGTCTCTGCGTTCGACTTATTCTTACAGACGGGCGGAGGAACAGAGGAATGTGGACTCGGCTCGGTGATGCGATCATGAATATATTCACTGTGGTCGAAGATATTTCTTCAATATTCTTTAGCAGAGTATTCCAACAGGCGCACTTATATTTTACAAATTAGAACAATTATTTTATTGTACTTCTTATGATTTCTTATTTTTTTATTTTAATTTAATAATGTAATAAGATGAGCACTGAATTTTGGAAAGTTGAATTGATCCGGATCGTGATTCCAACAACTCTCAATCAGTTTTTGGAATTCTCATATTCCATTACAAGCTTAAAAATCAAATCCGATTGGTCTCCCATTACGGTCCGATACATAATTGAGGTTGCCATCCGATTCACAAAGTTATCGATAGGCTTTCTGCGCGACAATCTCTCCCATAGAGTAATGCCAAAGCTGTAAATGTCACATTTTTCCGTATATTTTTCGCCTGAATGAGCAACCTGAGAGTAAATGCAACCTTACTTATTTGTATTTTAACTTTATGAAAATATGGTAATTAATACAAACCTCGGGTGCCACATAAGAAGGTGTGATTTTTTCTTTTGTATTTTGTGGCGTCAATTCATTAACGCTGCCAATAGGAATTAATAGGAGAGTCTATATCACGCGCGCAATTTAAGATTAGTTACCAAACTTGGAAAGGAAATTACTAAGAAATCTCCTTAATAAATTATTTTTAAAAATATCACTTGTTTTTTTGCAACTTTCCCAAGAAAACTATATAGTGCTTATGCTTGAAAAAAGCCTTTGGAATACAGTTTAAATTCGTTGCGTTTACCATTTTAATTGTGTGAATTTTATAAAAGCAACACTGAGGTTTCAAGGAATCACTTGATAACTTTCATAAGACCAGCAGTTAAAGAGTGTTCATACATACCTATTGATCTTGGAGTATGAGCAATTATGATAACTATCTTTTACTATAGGTAATATCAAAATGAGTGAACTGTGCGCAATGTTGCGTGAATTAAAGCGGCATAAGTAACTGACTGTATTCAATGAATAATAACCACATATTTGGGCATCTACTATGAGCAAGTAAACAAAATAACAAAAAATACACGACGGCAAATAGCTGAACCCAAAACTTTTTCTGCAAATTGGTTCAGTTCTTAACCATAATAGCTGCTGGGTATCGCTGTCATAATAGACATAATTATGCAAGGTAACTAAGCCAAGTAATAAGCGAACTTTAAACGCCCTCCGGCCAAATGTCAGCTTATAAAAATAAACTTCAAGAATACAAAATTTAATGGATTCCGCTAGTAAGAAAATAAAACACAATTTATAATTTATAGCTTAGTCTTCGAAATACATGGTATGGAAATACACAGATATTTTTGGATTATAATTAAAAGTCTATAGGGAAAGTCTTTATTTTCAGATATATATTTAATTATATATATTTGTACAGTTATTTAATTGTCCACTTTATTTTTATATTTTGATCGTAGTAATTTTTTTTATCAATCAAAGCACCTCAGAAATTATACTCTATAACTAACATATTTGTTTGTTGATGATATATAGTTTTTAGAGTCAGATAAATTTCCCACGAACTGAGAAGAAAAGTACATTCAAAATTCATAAGCTAAAATAACATTGCAGAGTAAGCTTTAAAAACTAACATTTTATAAAAATATGGTAAATTTGTAATGCATATTTTGATAAAAGTGCTATCATAATCTTTTCTACCGCCCTGCTAGATGAATCGACAGGACCCATTCTCGAAGGAAGCCGAGCTGAAGAACAAAGCGAGACGAGAGCTGGCCAATGGGCTCGAAAAGGACTCAATCTACAAATTGCGCCTGCAATGTTTCAGCCGTGGCGCCACTGGCATCTTAGGACTTGCCAGGTAAGTCTACATAACAGTCTGTAACATGAGTCCCAATGCGCAACGTTGTGATAAACATGACTCCTGCATTGTGATTCATCTCGGATGTGCAGCCATGAGTTGCATTTTTGCATAAAATTGCTTGGGCTGCGCCTTCGTCGTCGTCGTCAAAAAAAAAACGTTTTTCTATTGTTTTTTTATACACTTGCTAGAGTATTATAAATATTGAAGGAAGTACGCAAGACACTGAAAAAATCTGCTCACAGTCCAATGTCCATATATGTTATTATGCTTACTTATTGGCATTTCCACAAACTATATATATTGTTGCTTATAACCAAATTTAGATGAGCGTAGTTGGATTCTGATCTGCAAGGATATTCAGTCTTCGTCGTTCTCAACTTGCTGTACTTTCCTGCTCCTTTTTTGCTCTGTTTTTGCACAACTTTTGTTAACATACTCGTTCGTATAGGACCAGTATATTTATTAAAAAAATGTGCGGTCTTGAGTGGGCATGGAGATTGTAGAGCACAGAGATTTTAGGTTAGACAGGGTGTATGTAAATGATGAAATCGTTGTTGCCGAGTTTTGTTGTAAAAGTGCAAGGGAATAGTTCCCTCAATGAAAAGCCCAATTTAAAGGATGTTCTTCAGAAATTCGGACTGCCAATGTCGACGATGTCGATGAGGATGATGATGATGGTGTGGATAATGATAACTAGGCACAAGCAAATATGTTGAGTGCATGTTGAACTAACATTGCGAGAGCTCTTCCAAGTGTTTGCCAAGCGGCAAAAACTATGCATGAGGCTGCCTCTAAAGGGTGCAGCTGAGGGGTGGGGGTAGGTGGCAAAAATCGCTGACTGAATGCAAACAAACATAATTGGATTTCTCTGGTTTCTGTACCGTTCAACGTCCCCTATCTACCTTTGCCAATGCCACTGCATACAAAAGCTACCCAGGCTAAATAACAACAATATAGCAAACCAGATCCGCTCTTTTTACTTGTTTTTATTTCAATTTCAACTCAATGTCCGACTGTCAGCAAGTCGGTTACCAATTTTCAGTTTTGAACATATAGACATTTTTAACAAATTCGCAGCTTCAACATATACTGTGTGAATAGTTCTATGTGTGTTTGTACGGTTAGCAGGCTGATTGTGTCTGTGTGTGTGAATGTTTATTTGTATTTGTGCAATTTGTTTGTTTTCCAGTTTGAAAATTAAGTCCAAGAATTAAAAACAAACTCACATTGATCGTAACATATTTTGTTATTTTGTTCACATTTGTTCAATTTAAATTTCAGATCGTTTCGTGTGATGGATGACGATGGCAGCAAGACACTAAGTCTGGAAGAGTTCACGAAGGGCATTATAGACATAGGCCTCGATGCGAACGAGTCTGATATTCAAGATATGTTTAATCGGTATGTGAAATTGATCTCCTTTTTGTGTATTAATAAGATAAATACGCATCGCTTTAATTTGCAGTTTCGATACCGATGGAAATGGCACCATAAACATGACAGAATTTCTTATGAAGCTGCGCGTAAGTATTAAACAATTTTCAAAGTACTTAAAAATGTGCATTCTTTAAGTTATTACTGTTTGAATATAGCCTCCAATGGGATCCTCTCGCCTGAATATCATAAACAAGGCATTCAGTAAATTGGACGCTAATGGTGATGGTCAAATTACTATCGCCGATTTGAAAAATGTTTACTCGGTACAAGATCATCCAAAGTATTTGAGTGGTGAGATGACGGAAGATGAGATTTTATTGAATTTCCTGAAAAACTTTGAAGCCGGTGCTCCCAATCCTGACGGAGTAGTTACTAAAGAGGAGTTCGAGAACTATTACGCCTCAATCAGCGCCTCGATTGATAACGATGCCTATTTCGATTTAGTTCTACGACGTGCCTATAAGCTATAAGCTCGGCTTTGGTCATATTTTTGGAAAATTTTGACTACAGTTCCTCGAAATCCGACCATAGGCTAGTTGGAGCATTTTACTTTCGATATATAAAATATTTAAAACAAATATTAATTCAAACTAACTCCGCTTAGTTATGCATGATGTCTACTAAAATCACGAAATTCCTGTTGCTTATCTGTATATCCAAATAAAATGGCTATATGCATAATTTAAGATATATTCTTTCTTTTCTGTAAGGCGTTTAGAATTTGAATTATGATAGATCGTGTTTTGATCGATCGCTCTATCTATACATATTCCGTTTCCTAGCCTTCACTGGCATGATGTAATTATTTTCCACTGATAATGGGTGCTCAAATTAGCTCAGCGTTTGCATGTGAGTTGTGTAGTTGATTCCCTTGTTTCATGTAGTTTTTGCCAAAATATTGCGCCATAATAATTTATTAAATTAAAGCCGCATGCTAATTAGCATAAAACTAATTAGATTACTTGTACACGTGCTGCCAAAAAGTAAATGAGATAGCAAGAGACAGAGTGAAGGAGAGAGCAACATAGTTAAACATTTGCGGCGTATGCGCTTGTTGTCTCTTGTCGCCTTCAATAAAATTCATGTTTGCCAACAAGTCAAGCGACACACACACACACCATCAACCCGCACACCAACACGCAAGCTTACAACACCGCAACACACGCATAGCAACAAATAGGCCTGATTATCTGTTGTTTTTTTATACCCTGTAATAATACCTAAAGATAAGCCTACCATCTGCACATCATATTTTTCTACGAATTTCTATAAATCCTGCCCATTATTTGCGTGCATGATTGAGCTCACTGAAGCTGATTATTGGTAATACTGTTCCAATCTGATTAGAAGGAATTCCTTTATAAGTAATTTATTACAATTCTTTAAATTATGCAGAAATTCAAAATATAAACATCTCAAAAGTCTGCAAATAATATGTAAATAATCTTTAATTTCCAAGAAAAGCATTTCTCATACAGAGCATCTGCTAGTCGATGCCAATACCAACATTTTTAGTTGGTGCAACCGGGGGTGATTAGGCTGACATCGTGAAGTGAAATGATATCATCGACACCTCCGCTTTCGGGATATATAGAGCGGAGCCGATGCCAATGGCCTTTCTTTAGACACCGCTAATTAGAAGCTTATTAAAGGAGCAAACTCTAATTACATTCATTTCGCATCAGTGATAACAATACGGCATCGCTGAGTCTTGATGTGAATAGGCCAATCTCTTACCAGTTGTTAGCTAGACAAATAACGACAGCTCCAGACGAGAGAATTGGAACGAGAAGAGAGCAAAGAGTGCTGTGCAAATGATGTTAACACATAATACAATATCCGATGATATTGGAATGTCTCACACTTGGCACATTGATTATGCGGCAAAGTTTTAGTATGCCAAGTAGACAATGTTAAAAGTTTACTCAAGTAATTAAATCACTTCGATCTTTGCTAATTACAAGCAACGAACATGCAGCTAACATGGCTAAAGGCCATGTGCAAATGCTTAACAGTGTATACATCTAAATATATATATATCTATGTGTGTGTATCTCTGTGAGTATGTGATTGCCACTCGTTAGATATAGCCAGTCAGCTACGGAACATCCTCATCAGGAGAACAACAGGCAACAACAAGAACGTTGACAAGTTACCTGCCAAATTAATGCAAACATGAAACGTGCGGCAACTGAGAATATTAATTAACTAACATACACTCACACGCACACACACACACAGACACACTCACACACACTCACACACACACACACACACATTTCGTATGCTTCCAGATGCAGTGTTGGCAGCAGTTGCCACTTACCATTGTCAGACAGAGACGGATTTAGGGAATGCTACAGATCTGCTGCAACATTCCCAAGACTCTTTGACTCCAGAATGCTGCGTATGAGGAACTTGACTTCATGACCCTTAATATTGTTGGTGCCGTCAAGCGTTATATGATTAATGAACGTTTCATTAGCGCAACTCACATTACACAATTTGAGCGGCGAATGATACTCGACCTACAGCGAAAACATGAACTATTTACATTTCAGCAGGTTACCGAACGTGATCTCAATATTATCTCTTCATCAGTTTCTGCAGGCCATGCAAACATTCCGGTCGGCAGACATACAAAAAAAGGCGAAAGCCATCTCTACTCGTATATCTGATGGACGCCATACCACACACACACCCACCCCTCACTATCTACACCCCCTCGACGAACCGGCAAGTATAGGTGATGCCCTCCTTCGGTTGTGCGGAGCACGAACTGAAATAGGGGGAAATGGCCAGCCAAGAACTAGGGGATGGCAGGGAAGGGAAGGGAGAATGTGTTCGTTGGCAACACCGAAACCTAACGAGTTACAATGATTTTCGTGCTAATTAAAACGGTTTTTGCATACAGTTTACCGCATTAGTATTTCGCTTAGCAGTTGTACAAACACCTTGGCAATGTCTGGGCATGGGTTATTCCCATGGAATGTTTGCTTACGGCTGCCAGCCATACCCACAACTCGAATATGTCTGTCTGTGTATGTGTGTGTGTGCGTATTTGTGTGAGTGTGGCATAAATTACGCATACGCAGCATCGCCCGGGCTCCAACGGGATCTGAAACAAAAAAGACCCAGCTAAAAAGTGTATTTTCCAACTGACGCAACTGCGCCTAATGAACTCCCATTGCGGCTTCCCACTGCCACACCTCTAACCATATCCATATCCACATCCACATCCACATCACCACTTTACCCATCAGCCGCATAGTTTTATCTTTTTTGCGGGCAGCAAGTTGTCAGTGCAGTGACTTAATTAGCTGTTTGATATTTTGACAGCTGAGTGAAATAAAATTGAGCTCGTTAGTGGCCTGACTAGCGAAACTGTAAAGACTGAATATGAGTCTCAAATTACGACTGATTAAAGCCACATTACAATTCGAATAACATATAATTTAAATAGCAAAATAATTAATTTGTTAAATACAATGTATGTATTATATATATTGCTGAAGTATGATTTTTAAGTTAGCAAAATCAGTTCAAGGAACTAAGAATATAATTTGTGTACATAGTAGTTATAAAATATGCTAAAGAAAAATATGATTACAGTATTCGCACCAAATAAATAAATTTAATATTAAATAAAACCATCTTTTAATTTAAAATCATTAATAAATTAATGCCTGTAAAAATTGGCGAAGTTTTAAAAAAGTTATTGGAGTATCGGAGTATTTTTCCAATTTCAAATACTCCATTATTCTAGTAGTCATAGTACGATCAAAAAGTCATTGATTCTCAAAATCGGTTCAGTTTTGGTAAAAGTATGAATTTGACGTAGCTCAATGTTATTTTTCGGCCGTTATTTTCCATAAATGTCTAGTTAAAGTTACTTTTCCACATTTCATGTATATATTATGTAATTTTTTGAACTCGATTTTGTTGTTTTCGAACTTCTGCATAAGATATAAGATTTCATCTTTAATTTAATTTTTAATTTAATTTTTAATTTTTTTTCAAACAATTAAAATATTCAACTCCAAGCATAATCCGATTTTTAATTTGTTATTTTTTTTTTTAATTTGGAAAATGAGAGCAAGCATGTATGAAGGATTTGCTTAACCATAAAATACAAGGTATGAATTTTGTGTGTGTGCTCACGTGCTGTGAACTTTTTCGCACTTTCAAAGCAAAAGTTAAGTTTACTTAAAGTCATTAAAAAAAAAGCACGAAGGTATTTTGATACTTTTAAAACAAAACGTATTATTATTGGTTCTATATACAGCGTCTTCTATTCGCCATGGCAAATAATAGCTGCCACGCACACAAAACGAGTTGTACAAAACGGCATCTCAAATGCTGGACACGTGTAAAAGTTGAGTTTTTAAACACTTGTACACGAATTCTTGTTTCGATTTGAAAACGTTTTGCGCTTTTGTTTTATAAATCACAACAAAAATCCTAACATGAGTTCCCCAAGAGATGGAGAGAGGGAGATGCAGAAAACTGGAAAACTTTTTAGTTTCTCATCGGCCACGTTTACTGTCAATAAAACTTTACTTGAGCTGGAAAACTGAAAACGGCATAGATTATGTCAAGTAAAAAGGAAAGATGGTAAATAAAAAAAACAAAAACATTTTCCAAAAACACATATACTAAAACATGCAAATGCAATGAAATTACAAGTTACGTTCACGCCGCATATTGCAGCCGCCACGGCAGGAGGAGCCTTTCGCTGGCGTCGCACACAAAAGGATTATGCAAAATTATGCAAAAATTGTCGGAGGCAAAATCCACGCACATTAAATTCAAGTGCTTAAATTCAAGTGCTTTCTATAAAGTCAAATCGTGACTTTCTTGCTAATGATGTGCATAACCTAAAACCAAAGAATATTATCTAAAGACGTCGATCGTTGTGGCCGTTACGTAGGCAACATGCATAAAGTGTTTTTATTAGTGGACAAATTGACTTGCAAATGATTTCTGGCATTTCCATGTTTCGCAGCTTGTCATGAAATTTATTGCAATTACTTGTACTTCATAAATCCCACGGCATCAAATGGACAGTTAGTCTGCTTCTTAGCCATTTGGCTGATTTGTCAACAGTTTAACAATCCAGCGTGTGAGTCAGCTTTAGCGCGCATATCTTTGTATGTGTGTATATGTGTGTGTATGCATGTGTGTGTGTGTGTGTGAGCGGATGCCACACTAAAAGCGCACTCAGCTCAAAGACAACGAACGGAAATAGTCGAAAAAGTGCAACAAAGCCTTACGCTGTACGTGCCATGACCCAACAAAATGGCGGCGCAGACGAATCATAAGCAGCAGCAATGGCCGACAATGACCCAGGAGCGCGACGGGGGCAAGATACGAAAAACCGCAGCCAGACCGGCGGTAGCTCTCTTGCTCAGTCTGTTTCGGTCTTTCGGTCTTTCGGTCTGGCAACTGAGCGCTGAGCGCTGAGGTTGGGCATCATTTATACTGAATGGATTTGGATTTGGATTTTGGATTTGCGCACAAGATAATGTGCAGCATGGCATGGCAAGGGTCTGAAGCGTTGCATGTGAGCTGCGAGCTGCCTTTTTTTTTTTTTGGAGGGATGGGGGGTGGGAGTAACGGGGCAAGTGTTACTGGAGTGCTACTGTCTGGTGGTGGGTGGGGCAGCATGAGAGCTAAGCAGCTCCAATGC